AAATGCAGAAAAATTACAATAAAAATTCCAAAAGCTTTTTTCCCATAGAACTTGACAGGCTGATTCTAAAATTTACACAGAAGAGTAAATTCCTAAGAATACTCAAGACAAACATAAAGAACAAATTAGGGGAAACTTTATTATTATTCTCAAGACTTATTATGAATCTTTAGTAATAAAGGCAATGTGATATAGAAGAGGTAACCAAATTGAACAATGAAATAAAAGCAGAGTCCAGAAAAATCCCATGCATATGTGGAATTTTTTATATAATTCTGTGGGGCTATTGCACATAACTGAGAAAAGGATAGATTATGCAATATATGACACTAGGACAATTAGCAACCTTTGTGAAAAATAATGTAATTGAATTGCTTCCTCACACCATATATTAAAAAAAAATCACATTGATTAAGTACTTAAATGAAAAAGAAAAATTAATAAAGTCCTTAGAGAAATTATAGAAGAATTTCTTTAAGACTTCAAACTAGGAAGGTATTTTTATACCTTTATTTTACTTATTTATTTTTATGTGGTGCTGAGGATAGAACCCAGTGCCTCACCCATGCTAGGCAAGCGCTTTACAACTGAGCTACAACCCCAGCCCAAAAATATTTCTTAAAGGGGACACAAATATTGCTAAGCATAACAGAAAAGGTCGCTACAATAGTATTGGTACTTTTATATTTAAGTTTGATGGTAAGTAAACACATATCTCTTTTATTAAGTTCCATCATTATATATATATATATATATATATATATATATATATATATATATATATATATATTCCATATATTTCTATGTGGACCAAATATTGAATTATAACACATTTGACTACAAAATAAAGGAATATAAATCACAATAGAGGAAAAAAGGTCAGTATCCCTAATAATCATGGAATAAAAAACACAGATGAAAAAGAAAATTTAATAAAATTTCATTTTTAGTAGAATTCTAGTATTATTAGTGAATCTGAGGTTTAAAGAAATTTGATAAAACAGGACTAACATTAAAGAAAATTTTTAAAACCAAAACTTCTAGCAAGCTGTTATTTTAATGAATATTTGCTTTACCTGATGAATGCAAATATGGTTCACATTGACAGTCAATTCTTATAATTCACTACTTTATTAGGAAGACGGAAGAAATGTGATTATCCTTATAGATACCAAAAGTGCATTTGACAAAATATAAAATCCATTGCTGAATTTTAATAATGACAACAAGGAGTAGGATTGAGGTTAATATACAGAAGTCAAATGTTTTCCTAAATACCAGCAATTGGAATTTAAGATTCAAAAATAATATTTGCAATAGCACCAAAATAAAGAAACATGTATAAATCAAACAAAATATGTACAGCATTTTTTGTATTCCAATAAAACTTTATTTTCAAGAATAGGAAGGCCAGATTTGGCTCACAGGCCTTGGTTCACCTGCCTGCCCAAGAGCACTGGTTATTTATTTATTTATTGAATATTTTGGTTTTACATATTATTTTGATTCCATTTGACAAAATTATACATACAAGAAATTTGATTTCAGTCCCACTTTTTCCTCCTTCCTCCCTCCCTATTTTCTCCATCCTTTTTTTCTTTATTGGTACTTTCAATGTATACATAAAGGTGAAATTCCCTTTGATACATTGGTATATATATAATTTTTTTTAAAATCACTCCATATTTCTTCCCTTTTCCCTTCCTTTTTCTTTTCTTTTGTGTATTTCACTGAACTTTCCCACATCTTTATGATATTTGATCCCCTCCCCAATTATCTTTTCCTTTTTTTATCCCTTTATTTATTTTTATGTGGGCTGAGGATTGAACCTAGGCCCTTGCTCCTACTAGGAGAGTGCTCTACGGCTGAGCCACAACCCCAGCCCCTTCTTTTCCTTATTTTACTTTAGCTTCCAAATGATAGAAAACATTCAACCCTTGATTTTGAGTCTGGCTTATTTCACTTAGCATGATTTTTCTCCATTTCCATGCATTTACTGGCAAATACTCACTGGTATTTACTCAACTAATTTGAAAAATTATGTCTATACAAAAACTCGTTTACTGCAGCTTTATTCATAACCAGTACAAACTGGAAGCAACGAAAATGTCCTTTAATTCATAAATGAATTATATATACATGGACATCTATACAACATCCTGTTATTCAGAGTGAAAAATAAATGATTTATCAAGATGAAGAGACAGAGGAATACTGAATGCATACTCTGAAGTGAAAGAAGCTGGTGTTAAAATGCTACATACTGTGTGATTCCAACTGTATTTCATTCTAGAAAAGGCAAAACTATTAGAGACATTAAAAAGATCAGTGGTTAACAGCATCCTAGAGGAAGGGGAGGGAGGGACGAATAGGTTAAGTCTAGGGATTTTTAGGGCTGTGATTTTATATTATAATGTCATTGGGAATATGTAACTATGGATTAACTTTAGAACACAAAAAATGAACCCTAATGTATAGAAATTTTAAAAAATCACCTACAAGGTTAAGGAAATTCCAGAATAGAATGGGAATGTGATGAAATAATCTAACTTTATTACAAATTTATGAAATAAACATATCAAAGTGGGGCATTAACCTGAGTAACCTAAGTTAACTTTGGAAATGAGTCTATAAACCAACGGCAAACACAACCTACATAATCATGTATTCTTTGATAAAGTTGTTTTCCGTGGGGGTATAGGTTCACAATTCTGAAACCACTTTTCATGTATACTGGAATCAAACAATTCAAGTAAGTAGATAGCAGATGTTTGGAATCAGTTTTCTCATTTGAGGGGGAGTTGATACATAAGCAAGAGAAAGAGGTTAGAATGATCTATGTGGTAATGGATGGAATATCAGCATGAATTCATGTTTCATAAATAGAACTACAGATGTTACATACAGAAAACTTTACATTTATGTGTAAATTCATAGGTTATTATGTACATATATATTTCCTTCTCTGTGAAAAAGACCTAGAAGCAATGACATGCTAGTAGCAATGAGGAAATCCAGTGGCCAGGTCTTAGTTTATAATACTGTTCTTTAATTCAGGGCTCTAGAGAAATGACTGGAGAAGGAAATGTACCACATGAGCCTGAAAATAGTGCCAGAAAGTAAGGAAATACTCTCCATTTCAAAATCCATAATGATGGCAGTGGCAGGGGGTGGGGGGGCATGTCAAAGGACAGAAGAGCCCACTAAAAGAACATTCAATGTTTGCATCGGGAACAATTTCAGCAACAATGTAAAGTAGTATTACATGATAACCCAAAGTATAAATATCCACAAATCCAAACTGATATAAGTGAAGAATTGGTTAAATTACTAAATGGAGAAGAAACATATCTTTGTAGAATAAATCCAAATAAGTTATATAGGTACTCTCTCCTCAAGGAGTAAGAGCATAACTTCTCACTCCCTAAGTGTAGACTATGTATGATATCTTCCTTTCAAAAAGTATAGTATGGAAAAGGGGAAAGAAGAGTAACTTTACAGTGAAGAAAACTGGCTGAACTGACCGAGGTTAATGCGAACTGTGATAATATGTACCCTTGATATGATGAGAATGGCCGTTTACCTTGGTGTTCTTCCAAAAAATACAATTCTGGTCTAATAATGGGAAAAAACATCAGACAAATTCACGTAGAGGAACATTCTACAAATATTTGACCAGTATTCCTCAAAACTGTAAAGATAATCAAAAACGACAGAAATCTAAGAATAATATGACTAATGTAATGTGGTACTCTGGAAGTATCCTGGATACAAAAAGGACGTTAGGGAAAAACCCAAGAATATCTGAATAAAGTATGGATTTTAACTAACACATATTAAGATTGGCCCAAGGATTTTATCAAAATGTCTTATGCTAATATGCTAGTGACTGGGGAAACTAAGTGTAGGACATATAGGAACCCTTTCTAGTTTTTTGTAAGTCTAAATGAGTTCTAATAAAACTTATTTAGAAAATATTTTTAAGAGATAGAGGAAGCTGGTACAGTGGTACCCACTTGTAATCTCGGCTACTTTGGAGTTTGCAGCAGAAAGACTCTAAGTTTTGAGGCCTACCTGGGCAACTTAGTGGGACTCTATCTCCAAATAAATTTAAAAGGGTTGGAGATGTAGCTTAGTGGTAGAATACTTGCCTGCCTAGCATGTGTGAGGCCATGGATTTAATTCCCAGTACTGTAAAAGGAAAAAAAAAAAAAGGAACTATTATTGAAGAGCGACTAGATAGACACATTGATCAATATAATTTGTGAACCTTTTCAAAGTAGCTACAAAATCTATTTTGGGGATACATACAGAAATTTGAATATGAAATAATATTGAGTTTTTTTTAGGTCATGGTATTATTTAGTATGGTATTATGGTTAAATGGGAGAATATCCTCACTCTTGTAAGAGAGGCACACTGACATATGTAAGGATGTTATAAAATGGGATGACAAAATCCTACGATTTATCTCAAATGACTGAGGCAGGGGAAGGAAAAACATTTGGAGGAAGCAAAAGCATCAGTGACAAAATGTTTAGGAATAGTGAATCTATATGAATGATGAATCTAAATGAAATGTTCATTCATCATGTTATTCTTTCACATTTCTGTAGGTTTGCAATTTCCAAAATAAAGTTTAAGGCAAATTTTAGATATGGACAAAATGATATCTAAAGTATCTAAAGTTCATCTTGAAAAATAAACATTTGTGATTGGATACTGCTACTCAAGGACCAATTCTTATACCCCAAAGGGCATTTGATGACATACAAATATAAATGAGGTTATGCATTCTATTTTGACTATAAAAACATAAAACCACAGTAAGACTTTACATGTACAACTAAAGTACCTATGGAACTTAGTAAACAGGATCATGCTAGAAAAAATACAGTCATGAAATACACTCTTAAATTTTTCTGGGGATAGTGAAGCAGAGGAAATGAGATTTTAAAAAAAAGTTAAAAACAAACAAACAAAAAAAAAACACCACCAAAAACAAGGCAAGACAATCATTTATTTATTGGACAGGGCAAGGTCATTTAAAGAGAGAAAACATATTCAAAACGTGTTTAGCTTGGTGTTACAGGCATCGATGCTCACAACAAACAACACTACTCAATACATCATGGAAATAGGCCACATATAACCAGGAAGATGCTGTCATGCCACTTAAAAATAAGCCACGATGCTTGGGAACAATTATTAGGGAGTTACAGAGCATAATAGTCTCTAATTCACCAATCTCCATTTTCTGCCATTGGGCCATTAGCCCACAGTATTGGCTGGTTCCCTGGTTATTGAGTCTTCCTGTATTCTAGAGAACTTTGATTGGTGTGCACTTCTCACATTTCTGAATTGTCACTGAAATCATAGTCAACTGAAGGACTAACTAACTCTCATCACTATAGTTTTGAACTACTTTAGGCAATAATTAACTATCTCATAGTAATGTAAATAAAATTCCATTTAATACATTTAGCACTGTTATAATGCACTCAAATCACCTTTAGTCCTATGGTACATACTTTAAAAGACAGCAGAAATTCACTGGAGTAAATTTTAAGAGAGATTTGGGGAGCTCACCTGGCCCGAGGTATATGAGGTGCTGACAAAGACAGACACCTGAAAAGTGCTATGTCAATTATTTGCCAAATTATTTGGCATCATTTTTAGCAGGACTTTTCTGACTGGGCCAGCAAAGGTAGATTTCAATGTCCATTCTACAAACTAGCCAAAATATTATAAGCAATAGTATACAATGAATGATTGGCTATTCAGCATAAGATTAAACTGAGCATAAGATTAACTGAGAAACCTGTGAGGTATCTGACCCTCCCTCCTTAAATTCATTGATTTACCAGTCACTTTCTTTTCCTACAATAAGAGTTTTCAAGATGAGAACAACTTTTTCATGCCAGAGAAAACCATTTTGGGGAAGCCAATCACAAAAGACTAGATATTGTATGAATTAATTTATATTAAATGATTAAAATAGGTATATAGAAAGTGGACTGGTGGTTGCCTAGGGCTGGGGAGCACTGGGAAAAAATAGGAGATGACTGCCAAAGGGTACAGAGTTACTTTCAGTGTGATTAAATGCCCTAAATTTGTCTGATCATGGGCGCACAACTTTGTGAATATAAAAATCATGAAGTTACACCCTTTAAATGGGTGAATTACATAGTATGTGAATCAAATGCCAAATACACTGTTACAAAAATTTTAAGAAAGGAAGACAGTCCCCAAAGAGAAGAAAACAAGAGACTCTCCCAAAGCAGGCCATACCTGAGGAAATGGTAGACAAGCATGGTGTAAAGAGTTTGTTTCCCACATGCTATTTTGACTTCATCACTTTAATCCCTTACTTCATATTTTTAACACATTTCTAAATTATTTTAGGTTATCAGCAGATTTCTAACTTTGTCTCATTAGAGACCAAAGTCAGGGTTCCACCGACTGAGCTGGTAAAACAAAATAAAATGACAATAAAAATCCCATGACAAAATAATCTCATCCTTTGGGGTTGTGTACAACTAGGCAGAATGTAAGAGCTGAGGTTTATTTCCAATGGAAAAAATGCCATCAGGTATAAGGGCATCTTATGACTCTTGCCTAAAGCATATTTCCTTTTCAAACCTGCATACATTTATTCCCTTTACACCTATACAATTCAACAAAAAGTAATGTTTTTATAACTGTACAATTCAATAAAGCAATGCTCTCTACCAAAAAATGCTGAGCTTCCTGCTCAAAGAGCTAGCCAAATTTCCCTAAGGGTAAAATTACTATTTCTGAAAAAATCCAACTCTTTATCCATCTTCACCTTCAGCACTATACAGTGAAGACTGAAAACTAAACTGGCTATAATTTCTTAAATGACTTTAATTTTCTAAAATATTTAATATATTAGTTCCAAATATTTAGAATATATTTGGCCCAATTTTTTTGACTCTGCCTTTAGATTAATGAGAAGCTTCTTTTATTTTCACTTATTTAGTAAGAAATAACACAGACTTTGAATAAGTTAAACTGGCTAATGACAGGTAATCAGTTTTCCTCAATGATTATGATTGTTCCATAGAGGGATGATAATGAAATCACAAATGGTCTTTTTGGTCTATCTTCAACTAATACTACAAAGTTAGGAAACATTTTTACAGCTAAATGAGGAGAACACAAGCAGCATTACAGCAAGTTAAACTTGTTAAGTGCATTTGTTATGACAGAATTTCTGACGCAAAAATTGCTCACTGCACACAGAACCTCAGAGAAGTGATGAAATAAGACAACTGATGTTAGAAGGTATATAGGAATGGGGTGGGGAGAGAATCAAGGATAAATTAATATCAGACAAGTATCTTGGGGAAAAAAGAGCCACTTTTGAGGGCACATAAGAAAAACTGAGAAGTCACTATTTTGGTCTCATTAGGGAAGTCCATTTGATAAGAACTGAAGACCTTTTTACTATAATTCATGCTGCAAAATGCAGTAGTCACGCAGTATTTCCAAAAGGATTCCTAAAAACTAGTGCAAAAGAAATCTAAGAAAATAAATAAACATAAAAACCAACCTTTTTCAAGGAAATGTGTTCAAAACAGTGACTTTTACAAAAGATGCAAATTGGTTTTAAATGAAAATATATATGAAAGATTAAAGACTCATTTTGCAGATAACTTACACTCCATCTACGATTTTTTAACAGTGTACAAACAAGGGGTATAGATTTGTTTAATTAGGTCTGAAAGATCAATATAAATACTGATTGGGGGGGAGTGTTTTATACCCCAAACTCCAAGATTCAGCTCTGTGTCCTGTCCTGCTATTATAATTTGTAAAAACCTTAGCGACGCAGTGATTCGAGTTTTCGTAACTTCAATGATGTGTTAGAGGACAATGCCTCCTGGTTTGAAGAATTTGTTGTCTCCGAAGGCCGGAACAGTACTCGACCACGATGATTAAATACATAAAATGATGGATGATTCCTTAAGGTATCAAATGTCCTTAAAAGAAAAAAAAGCATCAATTTTAGATAAATCTTTATAAAAGCAGGTAAATCTGTAAACCACATAAATCTTTGAAAATAACCAGGTTTCTAATGAATTACAAATTTGCTATGGACTATATTTTAACTCAGCCTAATAAGCCCATAGAATCAGACTGTAAATGATAATCATACTAGATATCTATCTCTCTCTCTCTCTCTAACTGTACAGAGAAAATAAGAAACCTGGAAAGCCCACACAAAGCTCTCAATTTTCTTTTTTATTCATCCATTCCTTTTAGGTTGCCTATGAATAATAAACCAAACACTAGGTCAACTTTAATCACCTCTATAAATCTAAAAGTGGCTTTTTCCAAATAGTCTTCCAAAAACATGCCCATAGATTACACCTTTTGATTATTCTCATTTGGCCCTCACTATTCAGCCATATGATCATTTCACAGATCTGTTTCCCACAAATCTTTCAAGCATAACAACAAAACCTCCCATTGGCCAAAATCATATATTTTGCTACCACCTACTTGATCCCATTCTGTTTTACTTCTTTCTTTCCAGGCCCCTTGCCTGTGATTCTTGGTAGACTCTTTATAAGAGCAGCAGTGATAGTAGAATATCCTTTCTTTTCTAGTGAGACCTAAATAGTTTTTTAAAAAGTTCACAAACACCTTGGTGTATGGCCTTTAGTGTTTGCTTTCAAGTGTTATTTTTCAGAGGAACCCTTCCTTTGATTAAAACTCAAATCTCAAAGTCAGCTGACCTAATCATTCAAGTACACCCCCATATAAAACAGGAGGTATATAAATGTACATTAAAATGTAACAGCATGTACAAATATGTAACAATGAATTCCACCATTATGTACAACTATAATACACAATAAAAACAGAAAACAACAAAAAGATGCAAATCAAAAGTAAAAGTAAGGGGGTGAGGAGGGATGAGTTTCCTTTAACACATAAATTTTTACTGCGAACCCTTCTAAGAAAATACAGTTATTTCCAGGATCACGAAAGTGGATAAATTTCATGAATTACAGTAGATGGGATAGAGAGAGAAGATGGGAGGGGAGGGGAGGGGGGATAGTAGAGGATAGGAAAGATAGCAGAATACAACAGTCACTAGTATGGCAATATGTAAAAACGTGGATGTGTAACCGATGTGATTCTGGAATCTGTATACGGGGTAAAAATGGGAGTTTATAACCCACTTGAATCAAATGTATGAAATATGATATGTCAACAGCTTTGTAATGTTTTGAACAACCAATAAAAAAAAGAAAGTGGATAAATTTCAGAGATGGAATTATACAAAACTGAAGTAGAAATATGAGAAAGAAAAACAAACAAAGCTTGTGAAAACAGCTTAGAAAAAGTCCAGAAAAAAAAAAAAAAAAAGAAAGTAGAGTAACATTTTTTTTTTCATCCAGGAATACAAAAGGGCCTGTGGGCAGAGCTTATGTCACAGACCAGGTTCAAACAAGAGAGTAAACAGAAAAACCATTATTCTTCCAAAGACTAAGCTGTCACAAGAGGATAAAAGATGAATAAAGAAAGAAAAGAGAGAGGGAAGGGGGGCAGAGGAAGGAAGGAAGAGAGAGAGAAGGAGGGATCATGGTTAATCTTTTGGAGGAATTATCTATGTGTCTATTTCTCTCCCTCCAACCAACCAATAAATTTAAGTTTCTAGCTAGTACTATAAGGTAATACCTTATTCTAATATCAATGATCAGACATTCAGCTTCCATTTTTCCTATCATATCAAACACTTCCTCGATATTTTTACCTCTTCTTCATACAAACTACATAATCAAATGTAAGAACAAAACCAAGTTTCATGTGCCAGAGATTACATAATAAAGCAAATCCCTACAAAATAAATGCCTCTGAAAAGGGAAAGACTTACTTATTTTTTAGTTCTGAAGTGGCATCCATGTCTTTAAACTCCCCTGCAATATGAACTATACCATAACAGGTAACTGCAAAGGCCAGAAGTGTCTGAAGAACTATCTGTGAGTATAAAGATTGAGATTACTAAATAGCACAAAAATATTATACAAAACATTCACAATCTTCTCTTCTACTCTGTATGGCTTCTAACAAGTAGTCCCTTTCAGTGCCACTTATATAGGAAATCAATTATCACTTGAAATGATTTGCACTCAGACACAATAAAATCTTCTATTCATCCTGTGGCTTGGCTACAAAAATAGGTGTGATGCTTCAATAAATAAACTCAAATAGGGGCTGGGATTGTGGCTCAGTGGTGGAGCGCTCGCTTAGCACGGGCAAGACATGGGTTCGATTCTCAGCACCACATAAAAATAAAGGCATTGTGTTGTGTCCATCTACAAAAAAAAAAAAAAAAGATTCATATTCTCTCTCTCTCTCTCCTTTAAAAAAATAAACTAAACTAAACAGTACTAAATAAATACAAAATCAGTATTCATTTGTCAAATATTACCTGTTTGAAGGAGTAACTGAGAATTTTGAAAATGTGTTTTTTTTTTCAAAATAAGTACACAAAGCATATGCTACAAAGTAAAGAAAAGCAATAAAATTACACCACTTACCCACTATGCAGCTTAAATAGACAGTTTCTAGCACCTTTCAGGTGCCATGTGTCCCCTCTGATTATTTCCTTTACCCTCCTTCTCAAAGTTGAATATTGTCCCCAATTGTGTTAATCAGTTCTTTGCTTTTCTTAATAATTTTTCTAGCTATATATTCATCCCTACCTTCCTTTTACTTTTGCTCATTTTGAACCTTATTTAAATGGACTCGTGTATTCGTTTGAATCTAGATGTTCCTGTTCAACATTATGTTTGTAAAATTATCCCCTGCTGCAGTATACAGTTATAGTCTGTTTTCATTATGTTTTGTATTTCATTATATGGAAGTTGCACAATTAATCCATTCCACCGTTGATGGATATATGGGTTGTTTCCTGTTATTTTTATGTTAACTTGAATATTCTTGTGTGTCTCCTGATGCACAGGAGTGCAAACACTGAGTATAAAATATGCACATGTTCAGATTTATTAGGTAATACCAAATGGCTTTCCTCAAAATTTGTGCAAGCAACAAAGTTGAATGTTTGAAACTAACCAACATGAGATTACAAGCATATTTTCTTGATTGTGATTTTCTGAATTTAAAAAATTTTCCAATTTGTAATGTTATTTAAAATAGATTATACATGAGTGTGTGTGAATGTTTGTGTGCATTTACCACAAAGAAAATGTGATAGATAGGTAGCCACATCTACCATACCCTTAATTATAAACAACTCAAGTAAAAATTTGTCACAACCTTTTATTCTGTTCAGATTAAAACCTAATGTCATATGTAATACAAATTTACATTCTGACCACCAATGAACCAAGGAGACTTTTTTCACTGTTAACAAGAATGTGTTAAATCTGAGTTGTCATGAAAATATGTTCAAGATAAATTGTATAATAAAAAACTATAAAGTTTTATATATGTACACATGTATAATAACTTTTTTAAAAAGAAAAACTCTTATGTTTTGATTAGATAAAACTATATATACATGTTGTTTACCCATAGGAAGAAGTCTGAACTTATATACTTAAAACTATCAGAGGTAGAAATGAAATTGCCAAGGAATAGGATCAGTTTTGTTATTGTTTTAATTTTGTGCAGCCAGTTTTAATTTTTATACTTATTGTTTGATTCCTTTACAAAGAACTTATTACTTTTAAAGTTCAAATCTAATAAAGATAAAAATTGTGAGTGAAGTTGGAATATGTAATATTTTAGCTTAAAAAATACATTTTCTTTAGTTTTCCCATCTATGTGTATCCCCAAACAATGCATTATTAGCTTTGTTGTAAAACTTTATATAAGGAACTTTTCTAAGAAATAAAGTCAAGTAATAAACTTTTTTATTTTATTTTTTAATTTAGCACTGACTTTTTATTTAAAATTCCTGAGAACCAAATAATTAATCTTTTAAGTCCCTTTCATACTATGGTCAGGGTAACTTTTAGATTATTTTTAAAAAATATGTTTTAGTAGTAGATGGACACAATACCTTTATTTTATTTTCATGTGGTGCTGAGGATCGAACCCAGTGCCTTCCACAGGCAAGGCAAATGCTCTACCGCTGACAACCCTAGAAAGACTACAGTTCTAGAAAACAGAAATCTTCCACAGTTTCTAAATTTTGGGTTTTACAAAGAGTGATGCGAAGCAGAGAACAGATGTTATTTCATGTCTAAAAAAATGTTAAGAGGATAAAAACCAGTAAAAAAATTATCATAAGCAAAGTGGCTAATTTTAAAAATATATTGTAATAGAATATAAATTACCAACTTACATCTATTGGCAGTGATTCATCTTCTTTTTCTGTTAATCGCATGTAAGAACGATCTATAAACCAGAAGCATACCATTAAGGAAATTGTAGCCCATTTTTCTTTCTTAAAATGCGAGCAAATCAATAGATCAAAGAAGTGGCTGACTTATATGCTACATAAAGTAATGCTAATCCCAGATTCCTCAAAAACCTCTATCCTCTAAGGCAGTCTGACTTATCTTAATTAACTATTTCATTGTCATTTTGACCTGCTTTGTCACCTTGTAAGATGGGGTAAGAGTGATAGATGGGCAAGTATGAGGCAGAAATACCCAAGCATGATTTTTTTTTAACTAAAGGAATATGAGAAACTTCTGAAAACTGTTTATTTCACTAAGTAGTAAAAGAAATAATAATTTAAAAATTAATAAGTCTACAGAAAATCTCAGCTCTGTATAGCACCACATCACATAGGAAAGCCAATGTAATACTGGTCTGGAAACATTTTTTTCTGGAAAAAACATGATGGGGCACTGGTGGACAAGAAATTCCAGGACACCAATTTCTGCATCTAGTACTTTTTAATTATAATTCTGTTGCTGCCTTAATTTCAGGAGGCAGCAAGGGATGAAGGAAAAGGATCAGGATTTGAAAGCTGGTGAACTTGGATAATGGTACTGGTAATTTACAACACCTCAAGTTAAGACATCCTCAGTGACTGTAACATGTAGTTCAATTTTTAGAGTGTTAAAATGTGGGAGTGAGAGGGGAGTGTGTCTTAGAATCAAAGAAATACAGTATCTTTTCATTTCCTGAGTTTCTGAAGCAGCAAAATGAGAATAATGGGAGGATTAAGGAGATTCACTATACCATAGCTGCTCCACTATAACAAAGGTCATTACAGCAAAGATGATCATGCTATCTGCTGCTGCAATCCCACATGACATAATTAGTTTCAAAGGTATTAGTGTCTTGCCAACATGAGTATTACAAAGAGGACTCACTGCAGTGACAAATCCACAAGGCATTCTCATCACTTGAAACATAAAAATACAGAATCCTCATTCTAGATAGACCTAAGGCAATTTCTATTTAATCATGTACATTGGACTTCAAATATCGAAACTGTTTTGAGTAAATGTGTATGAATTCTTTCTTAAAAGAGAATGTGTTTAGAAACATATTCTTAAGTTTTCACTTACAGAATTGTTAAGGACAGGTGTATAAAGAAAAAAAAAATCAAACCAAAACCAACAATAGATTTGGACTAATCTTCTACTGTCTGTTCCATTTCTAGCTAACTTTCTTGTTTCCATGCAGCTTAACCTGACTCTAACACTATCTTTAGCCAGGCATTTCTTCATCTGTAAAATGAAGGGGTTGGACTTCAGTGATCTCCAAGGGCTCTCCTTGCTCTACGATTGTATAATTTTAAAGCTGGAACTTATTTTAGAAATTAACATTGTACTCCAATGTATCCTAATCTCCTCCAGGACCATGCTTCTCAAACTAATGTGCATACAAATCACCTGGGGATCTTATTAAAAGGAAGATTCTGACTCAATAGATCTGAAGAGAGGCCTGAGTGTCTTCTAACAAGCTCCCAGGTGACGTCCAGGAGGCTGGTCTGTTGACCACACTCAGAGTAGCAAGAATCTGGGACAAATTCCTGAACCACCAGTTCCTGGAATAATTAATGCCCCAACTCCCATGCTGCCTTATAAACTTTTAGCATAATATTTATATCTCTTCATTGTGATTATATCTTGATCCACTTTTTTACCCCCAGTAGCCTATGAACTCCCTTATGGCATCGCGGTCGCTGTACTTGTAGCAGCTAAGCACGGAGTAATTTCAACCAATGACCAGAGACTGAATTTTATAATACAGTGCAGCACACATCTCTTTTGCCCAAGGTCACACTGATTCAGCGGTCAAACAAGTTTTTAATAACCGTCCCTTCAGACTCCCAATTCGGTATTCTTTACCGGCATCACAGTGCCTCCCTGAGGCAATGGGTCACTTAACTTCTTAGTCTATGCCTGGACAGCCTAGAAGTCCCCAGGATATTGTCCACCTAGTTGTCACGAGGCCATAAGCATTCAAAGTCCTCAATCCCACACTCTGCCTGATCTGCCCTATGCCGGATCTGACATCCCTGGCCTGGATTCCCCGACAGACTCCCGCTCTGAACCCTAACCCTGACACCAATCTTTCTTCAATCTCGGGTGTCCACACCCTTCAAACCCCAAACCTTACGCCGCAGATCCTGAATTGTATTTCTGAGTCTGTAATGTAAATAACCGTTCCTCGGACTTTCAGTCCGACAGTCCCTTAGGGGTGCACCCACATAACGCCCCCAGGGTCCACACCACAGAGGTCTCCTCCTCCAGGTACTTACGCTGCGCAGCAGAAAAGGCGGCGTGGGCTAGGGCAAAGAGGCCGATGCCTACTAGCCCCTTCCATAGCGATGGCGCCATGATTCTGAAAAAGCAATAGCCCCCCCCAAAAAAAAAAAAAAAAAAAAACGCGAAGGGCGGCTGAGTTGTTCCTTCTTTCACCGGCGGGTGTCCGCTCGGCGCGGGAAGATGACGTCACTGAAGCCCAGGGCGCGAAGTGCCTTAGTGGTGCAATAACTAGAGAACCGTGAGAAAGAGGAAACAGGAATGCCGGGAAGAAGGAGAGAGCGACACGGAAAAAGGTCGGTCAGAGTCTCCGAGCCTGCGCAGTGTGGCCTCTCTGCAAGGGACGGAGGGTGTAAAAGAGAGGAGAAAGTGAGACCAATGGGGAAGCGAAGAAGGGCTCCAGCCAATGAACACCGGCCGCGGGGGAAGGGGCGGGGCCTGCGGAGAGGCCAGGGCGGAGCCGGGGTGCAGGGGAGGCGGCAGTAAGCAGTAGCTTGCTAGAGGCTGTGGTCGGTGCTGGGTTCTGACCTTGTCCCCCAACAGTGTTTTTTGTTGTTGTTTGTTTGTTTTTTGTTTTTTATTGCTTCGTTGGTTTTGGGTTTTGATTTTGGTTTTCCTTCAAGCTGTGTGCTTTTCTTTGATAGGTCTTTCCCGCTTTTGTCCTCTTGGAACTGTCAAGTGTAAGGAGACAAGAGTATTAAATTGAGGAGGCAGGTGGAGCTTCCAGGACACTAACCTGGATTTGGAGCCCCAAACACTTGGCACACGGGCGCCGCTCAGCAAAGTTAGTTTTTTTCTCTTAATGTTCAAAGGGTCTTGGGGGGAAAAAAAAAAATATATATATATATATATATATATATATATATATATATATATATATATATATATATATAAACTTGTTTTTCTCCATTTTTATTTGTCTTGACCCCCTAAAATCCAGACATTCAATAGTAACGTTCTCCCCTTTACCACTTTCTGCTCTTCTCTACCCTGGTGAGCTCATCCACTCATTTCTTACTTCAACCAGCATAGATATTACAGTGATTCCAAATCGATAGCTCTTCTCTCAAATATCTCCTTTCTTAGCTCCAGATCTTTATTTCCAACTACTTTCTGAACATTTATTTTCATATGAGTGGTCCTGTGGCACTTCAAACTTATATACCCAAAAGGGAATTCATCTTTTTGTTTCCCCAAACTGCACCCATTCATACACTGCTCCCTGGCTGAGTGGCACAACTTTGTTAACTACATATCACAAGGTAAATGCAAACAATAGACTACCATTCTTTCCCTTGAACCCTATCAGAATTTTATGTTTAGCTTCATCAATTTACCTACTCTCACTTCCTCAAAGATGCCTAACCTTACTGCTCCTTTTAAGTTTGCAACACTCTCATTTATGATCCCCTTAGCCTGCTGTTTTATATCACCTTCTAACCTACTAAATAATTGATCTATTTATGATATGTTTATGGTGTTTGCTGTGTTATTGTTTACTATTTCTCTTCCTCCACTGTAATGTAAGTTCCAAGAGGACAGATTTTTCATTGCCTAGAACCTTGGCTATCACTCAGTGGGCATTCACTAAATGTTTGTTGGATGAAGAATGAGTGAATTGTGGAAAAGAAATATTACTGTTTGAAAGGATATCTACATTGTCTCCATTATTTTGAATTAGGTCCTAAAATCCCTGTGGACTTCTGATATACTTGAGTATATCAGAAGACACCCAAAGTTCAAAATACTTACTCAACTTTACCTATATAATTATTGCCATATATATATATATATATATATCACTGTCCAAATCTTTACTCATGATCATTATTTTTCCCTGAACTGTTTCCAATTTCTTCACCTGAAAGCCAGAATTTTACACAGTACTTGATCAGTGTCAAATGTGGTATAATGTATTCCTTACAAATGTAGTCCTATTTATAAGCCTCATAATCAGGAAGAACCAGCAGGTAATATGTAGAGTTGGCGGGAAAGTACTTCCTTCTCCACTCTTGGGAGTTAGCAAGATAGAAATGATAGTTAACAAAAAAATCTTAAAACCTCATTTTTAGCTTGGATGATGGTCAAGTTGAAATTTTCAGGTGTTCTGGTAAATTGCCTTTTGTAATATCCATTTATCAAAAGCAGAAAATGATTGCACATTTTCTTAAAGTAGCTGAGATGTGGTTCCTTTCTTTTAAAAATATAAGGTTATGGAAAAATAGATCCAGTAAGGTATGTGGTACTTGTACATGCCATTAAAGCATTATTTTAGTCTTCAGTGAGATGACTCATGTCCAGACATTGAGTTGCATTTTCTCTACTGCTCTCTTAAGATGTCTTCCCCACTCTTATGGTCAGCCTCTTACCTATGTACTGAGTACAAGAGAAATTAGCTTAATTTCACATTTTCTAATAGTATTTAAATCGTGATCATGACATGAGATTTAAATTGTCTTTATCTGTAGATTCCAACCTGAAGAGAAGCCAAAGTATTCATAATCACAGTTATCAAAGATCATTCAAATAAATACCTTGGGTTCTCTCATACACGATTCTGAAGGTTGGAATTAATCCTAAAGATTCAAAGTACAGCTAATGACAGCACTGTTTTCATGACCTCTTAGAACAAAAGTCAAACCTCAGGTGAAAAAGTACTTAAATTCCTAAGTGACCCCAGAAATGCCTTTAGTTTTCCTAAGCAACTATTCATATGCACCCCAGAAATGATGTGGATATTATTGAAGGTGGAGATAATGATCTCTAAAGCCCTTCCTACTGAGATATGAAGACTCATCACATTTCTCAGGGCAATCTGTTGAATAGAGAAAGCACAGCTAACCAAGAACTATCTTTAAAGTTCACTTACTCTGTTCCATGACACTGAACTAGATGAATATGTTCACACACCACAAATTCATGTCTACATTTCCTATGCAAATTCTCCCTCTCTACCACACTGTCCTTTCCTACTTAGTTCACAAATCCACTTTCCCTAGGAATATGTTCCGATTATAGGTGTCTATAAAAGGTAAGTATCTATTGTAGGAATTAAACCTTTCTTCAAGCTATTTGTATTTAGCAAATAAAACAGTATATTTAGTACAAATATCTCTGGGTAACAAATTCTAGAAGCCTGCCACCTTCTGGGCAAACTAGTATTTTCAAGTTTGAAATTGCGTCCTCTGCTTTTTTTCTTTTTTAATTAATTTTTTAGTTGTAGATGGACACAATATCTTTATTTTTATGTGGTGCTGAGGATTGAACCCAGGGCCTCTCATGTGTGAAGCAAGCACTCTACCGCTGAGCTATAGTCCCAGCCCCTGCTTATTTTTTTCTTTACCAAAGTAATGTGTGTTCATTTTAAGAAATTCAAACAACAACAACAAAAATGTATTCCTCTTAAAGCATTAAAGTGGTGCCATGGTATTTTAAGTTTTGAATCTTAGTAAACAAGACTGTGGTTACATGATCCATATCTTTAAGGTTTGTTTGATGGATGGTTTATATTATAGTAGTTAAAAGCATTTGCTCTGACATTGGATTGGGTTTGAATCCTGGCTCTTCCTTTTCTACCTCTGGGAGATTGGAGAAGTTACTTAACTTTGCTGTACCTCAGTATACTGATCTGGAAAATGAAGTCAATAATAGTGTTTATTTGATACAGTTCTTGTCAGGATATAAAGTGTTTTAGAACCCTCTCACACATACAAAGCACTCAGTAAATGTTACCTATTGTTATGGACTCTGCTAGCTATTTTTTCAAATTGAACAGGTTTCTTACCCCTTTAGTCTTTTCTAAAACATCAATTGCTTCTTCTCTTTTATTATTTTAATTGTTCTTCTCTGGACACTTTCCAGATGTACTAGTATCTCTCTTAGCGTTTCATTACCATATATGCAGAAAGTATCCTAGGTTATGTGTATGAGGTTAATATGATTATTCATTTTTCTTAGAAAGAGTGAGAGAGAGAGACAGAATTTTTTTAATATTTATTTATTTATTTTTTTAGTTTTTGGTGTACACAACATCTTTGTATGTGGTGCTGAGGATCGAACCCGGGCCGCACGCATGCCAGGCGAGCACGCTACTGCTTGAGCCACATCCCCAGCCCAATATGATTATTCATTTCAAAGAGACTTCCTAATGACACTGATGAATGTATTCGCTTTTTTAGCACATTGGTTTGTTCTGTTCAGGAAATAAACTGTTGAAAACTCCAGCATTGTTATGCTGAGTTCTAAATGGTAGCTGTGACCTAATCTTGGTTCTGTTCTGTTTTTTTTTTTTTTTCTCTGCCAGCACCGGGGATTGAACTCAGGAGTGCCCTACCATTGAGCTACACCCCCAGCCTTCTAAAAGTTGTTTGAGATGGGGTCTTGGTAAGTTGTTGATACTGCACTCAAACTGGGGATCCTCCTGCCTCAGCCTCCCTAGTCACTGAGATTGCAGGCCTGCACCAATGTACCTAATTTTGGTTCTGTTTAAATATGGGTATTCAGTATAGTAACTACCCAATGATAAGTCTCTTTCCATCCTCTCTTCTTGGGAGAATGCAGAAGCTCCCACAGCTTCAATATTGTGCATGTAGCTCCCCAATGTACTGCTGGGCCTGATTTCACTCCAGGACAGTTTCTGCCTATTTTGATATTTGCGCTTAGATATAAATCCAACCTGTCAGCAGAGCTCTACATTCTGACTTCATATTAATGCTACTAATGACCCTATGTGTTTTCTGGCTATCTAGGTTCAAAACCTTGGAGTCATCTTTTGATTCTTTTTCCCCAGCACTTCCAAGCCATGCACCAAATCAACTGCCAAGCAATTTACTCCTAGAGGAGAAAGTGGTGGTGAGAATGAGAAGTGTGGAACAGTGTTGGTTTGAGAGAGAATCACTTTCAGAAGGAAGCCAAAGGCTCATGGGGTTTAGCTGCCTGGTAGAGTTATTGTCCTCTCAATGTTCTTCCTGGGATCACAAGTTGGAGGCTGGCCTGGTCACAGAGTGAGTCCCCGTTTCAAAATAAAATAAAAAGGGCTGGGATGTAGCTCAGTGGTGGAGTGCTTTGCCTAGTATATGGAGGCCCTGGGTTTGATTC